TATCTTTACCTATACAGCTGTGTCAGGACACTTAACACCCCCGTCCCCAAAGACAGAGGTCCTGGATAAATATAGTCAGAGCTCAGACTGGGGCAAAGGAAAATGAGTGAGTAGATGAGAAGAAAAAACACAAATGAGTGAGAAATTAAAGGGTGAGGTGTATTAAAAAAAAAAAAAAAAGCAAAAGAAATGTGAAAGAGTCAAGGAAAATAAAGTGAGTAAATAGCAAACGTTATTCGCCGTCAAAGATTTTGCACTGTTGCATGTTTATGTGTAACAGATATTACCCCGTCAGCTGCCTGATTCTGAGCGTGCCTCCTGAAATATACCTGCTGGCACTAACTCCCTTACAGCCAAGACGAAGTCACAGCCAAGGAAACCCTAGACGGCCCCGAGCAGATTATTTCCATCTGCTGCTCACTACATTCGATTCATCCTTTTCAAATCTCTCCCGTATTATCAGTGTCATAATCCAAGTTAGATTTGACACTGGAATGAAATTTGAAGGGAAATCTAATTTAATGAATGCATTTGTCTTTGTTTTGTTTTGTTTTTTCATTAGATGAGACATTCTTAATCGCCCAGTCTTTGCCAAAGCACGAAAGAAGAAAGGCTCTACGGCTCTGTGACTCAATCAGCAAACAAAGCCCACAGCCTTTTGACTAAAATAAAGCAGAATTTATAAAAATAAAAATCATAAAGTAATAATGTTTTAGACACAGGGGCTATGGCTAGCATGATTCTCCAGGGTTACAAGTTTTTTGAGCCTGCTCTTCAGCTCAGTGATGATGTAATGGAAATTTGCATGTAAAAGTATTAACACGTTTTCTTTGCTGCAAGGCAAAAACTCAACTAATTGTATTATTAGAGCAGATTAAAGCCATGATTATTGTCTTTATCAGCATATTAGACTTTGTTTTTGCTCCTGCAACCTATTCCATTTTATGACTGAGCTGTTCAGCAGCAGTGACACCAAGCACCTGGGATCTAGAGGAAGTCTGGCAGTGAACTAAGGTGCACACGTCTGGCGTCTTCTAGAAACTGAGCCATCATTACAGGCCACTGTTGGTGCCAGCCTACTGGGATGATTGAGTGTCGAGTCAAACCTCAAGGAAACTATGCCTGATTAATAAAGGGGGGGGGAAACTTATGAAGAAAACTAGTAAAGGATAATCATAGCCTAACAAATTCAAACTAAAAGCACTTTTAAAGAACTGACTAATATTTCAGATCCTATTAAATCTTATATATACATCCCACATCTGCTCATGTTAGAAGGCATCGTCTCCCTTACCACTCAGCTAATCGATGAACTAAAAATTTACACAGAAGATGAAATTAATAATAATTGAGTGTTTAATTTCCAAGTAATTAAGTGTAAAAACCAGCAAAATTTCCCCAGCTTACACTGCAAATACATTGTACCTTTATGGATGTAGGCGTTATTATTAAAGTCCTTTTCTTCAACTATGATTTTAGCATTTCGGCTATTGTTGTCTTAAATAAACCAGATTTGAGCAGGAGGGTTGAGTACAAAGTTATCAGCTAACATCATAAAACTAGGCCGGCATGGTGCAACCATAAACAAACAGCATGTGTCCAATGCACAGACACTTGCTAATGCAGTACACAGTAATAAATAATACACAAATCATCAAAATCTGAGCACAGATTTTCCTTTTTCTTTTTTTTTGTGCAGGCTGTTAGTGCCAGGCTGTATACACAAGATGGACATAGCCATTGGGACGCCACTCACTGGTTTGGCTGCATTTACAAACAGTATGGGTGTAAGAGAGAGAGAGACAGATTTCAGCTAATTAGTGCTAAGGAACAGACTAAAGAAGAAATGCTCAAATGTCTGTCCTAAAAACGAAATAAAATTAAACAAAACACACAGTTATGTTAAAAATGCTCAGTTGAAACGGTTGAAAGGTGTGGTTCGTTGGCTTAAATCACTGGAAGTGACGCCTCTAGTGGCTACAGAAGCGCCTTTGTTGGCATCTGTCTGCCACTGAAAGAAAAGCAATGACCATAATAAGCAGTATCACTAGGTGAGTTCTATAAGATTTCATTGCTTTATTGTGAATTAGACAGATACCAAGGCACTTTTTGTGCCAGCAAAGACAAAGATATGTTTGTTCCTAGGAACTTTGATGCTCCTATGCTGGCTTGAAAAAAAACCCCTACAAATCCCCGAACCTAAAAACAAAAATTGTATCTTTACAATTTGTTTTCAATATGAACTGGTAATAAATGTTGAACTAGTCCTTTAAGTTCACAGAGGGCTCAATGTGAAGCTTGCTTTCACTTTAAGTGTGGTTTTATATACTTATATATATGTACATGATTTATATCTTGCTGCTTTCTTTTGATATCAAGCATTTCCTCACATTATGCCAACTAATTGCCAGAGATGAGGCCACAAACACAAGACGCATGGCGCTTTAGCTGGTTGAGCATGAAATCTAGTTAGCTTTAAAAAAAAAAAAAAGCAAGTGAGAGTGGTAGAAACAGAGCAGAGGGTGACAGAAAGTGTGGAAATTAGTAGGATGAAGATAAAACAAGCTATATGTGTCAGTGACCAGGGTAGAAGCCAGGAACAAGCATATGATCAAGCTTTAGATCAGAAGGGAACGTTAGCACAATGAAATGGCACATAGCAGCAAAACATTTGGACATTTTCTATGTATTTGGCTGCAAGTGTGGTAACAGTCAGCTGCACGTTGGCAGGATTTATGTAGCAAAATGTCCATATATTATATATGTTTGTAATCAATAAGGCCAAGTAGTCTGGATTTTCATCTTGTCTCCTTTTCTCTTTATCTCCATCATGTCTTTTTATCGTTCCTGATCTAACAGTGTGTTTGAATGGTGCAGAGATCTCTGGGGCACAGTCTATGACATCAGACTTTGCATTTCAGATTTGATGATGTTAATCATCTGCCTTCTGGCAACAAAACAAGCCGAGAGGGGAGAGCTAAAGAGACACATAGGGAGAAGACGGACAGAGGAAGAACGAGACGGAAACAGAGTGATGAGAAACAGAGTGAGAAGGCGTGGAGGGGGGGCTGAGAGGAGGAGAGGGGACATGAAGATCTGAGAACAGACAGATGCTGGCATGTGAGGTTAGAGATGGACCCTAGAGATACAGTCACACTTCGAGTCCATGAGATAGGGAGGAGAAGGAAGGAGTGAAGGAAGCAAGGAATAAAGGGGAAAAAAGAAAGTAACACAGAAAGAAATAATAGTATAGAAAGTGTATGTAGTCATAAACACTGAGCTACTTAAGAACCACATTTCTGAATTTCTTTAATTAAGGGAAACGGGCTGGGTCGGTCTCTCCATCGTTGCCCTTCTACTTTCTCTGTTTTGCTCTGTGACTTTCACCTTGAGGAGTCGACGTGAAGCTTGTCACTCAAAATCACTGTCACTACAACAGTATACAAACACTGGCTGAAATTGCTCACAGTGAAACAGCAAGAATTAAAAGAAGCTGTGCACTGACTGATGCTTTTTTTTTTTTATTACTGGTGGCTAGGAATATGTTTTTAAGAAGGCGCATTACAACTGTGGGTTTATAGTTTGACTCTGGCGTGCTTTCTTCTGAAATAAATACTCATATTTGCAAAATAAAAGAGTGAACATGCACCCGCGAGTGAACGTCCACACCAACATGAATATCATGTACACAACCCACAGATCAATCCACTTAGTGCCCGTGAAATATAGGGAGTAGGCTGGCCACTCTGCGAGTCTGACATCACCATATTGAGCCATTAGGCTAAGTGCCATCATAGCTCATCATCTCTCTAGGACTGAACTTGGGCTGCATTTAAAACCAAAACCTGTAGTCCTGGCTCCTTTAGAACCATCTGGAATATCTTAAACCTGTTGATTAAGTGTGAGGTTCAGCATGTCAGCCGAACAGGCTTGCACTCCTACACTTTTGCTTAATTTGGGCTGCGGACAGGTCATCTGTTACATCTATTAATGCTGCAGTGCAAATATGGAAGGTCAAATTTAGACAGAGCCAGAGATAGCTTGACTGTGCAAGCGATATCTCTACTTGATGGCATGGGTTTGTAAACCGAGTTAACATCTTGCAGGGCAAACAGAGTTTTCCACACTGAGCTGAAGTACTGGTCTGCATGCTGGAAATCACAAGAAACTAAACTTTTAAGGAAGGTTTGAGACAACTTTATCACCAATTGCCTAATCAATGCAAGGTGATATTGAAATGTGTCCAGCAAAATAGGGAACTAATATTTTATTTGGAAAACCAATCATCATTTGTATTATCTACTAATCAAGTAACCGTCATGATGAATACATTTACCATTATTCATCAATATTATCAGCAGAAGACGAAAATATCAATATTCTGGATAAATAATGGATTAACTGTCATTTTACCCGTCAATAACCAACTGCTGTCAAAAAAGGCAAACTGAGGAGTATGCTTTCTATATGCTTTCCTATTTACAGTTCAAACTTCATGCATTGTAAACAAATGTGATTCATTACAGCAATCTACACATATAGCCAAATGTCAGAACTATCTGTGGACATGGTTAAGAGAAAGTTCAGACCTTAGTCTCCCTTCTTGGGATGATTCATGTGACAGTCCGCCATATGTCACACTGCTGCAGGCTGGCAATAAATGGGAAGCAGCTTTTAATATCATATTTCACAAAGTTAAAGTAACGGACAAAGCCCGTGTACAATCCTCATCATCAGTTGGCAAGAAGGAGGACTGTTCTGCTTCCGAGAAAATTTCCCACAAAGTGCGCGTTCACAAACTTAATGTAAGCTTTAGAAGCATATTTAGCACCACGTTTCTCTTTAAGTGATTACCAGGCTGCTTTGCATCTACCGTATATCTCCGAACATGCCATATAATGACACAGGTTCAGAAAAAAGAGCCACATAAAAATTTCTATGATACAACACCGTATTACTTTAAAAAGCCAACAGGCTGTTTTCAGCTGTACAGTACTCACATCTGCGATGTTGGGAATTGCCCGCTCGACTCAGACGAAACGGTCGCCAAGAGTAGGAATAGACAAAGTGAGTAATCCATATCTTTGTTAATTTCCCTAAAGCAGGATTCAGCAGATGAACAAAAAAAAAATGGAGAAAAAAAGAAGAAGAATTGCCCACAAATCCAAAGCGCCACTCGTACTTCTCAAACCAAACGCCTCACACCGCCATCGGTGCGCGTTTGGAAACAAATCTCATCCGATAGCTATGTTCTCCCCACCGATGGAGTTGAAGGAGTGTGTTCTTTTTTGGGAGGGGGGTGTAGCGTGTGTATCTGTGTGTGTGAGAGAGAGAGACACTCTTAAGTGAGTGTTTCAAACTGGAATAGGCTGTTAGAGCAAATCTCAAGCGTGTGTCCAAAAGATTTATAAAATAAAAAAAATATAAAAAAACAGGAGAAAAGGGGAGGGCGCATTTACAGTAGAGCTCAAGCTCGGCCGGCAGAGCGGTGCCACTCCGCACACTGCAAAAAACATCGTTGGTTCGCGGGGATGAACACGAGGGGTGGAAGTGTGTTTGAGTGATTGTGATGATTTCACCCAAGTTTTGCATGGCTCGGAAAAAAAAACCTCGCAGTTTATTTCGAAAGTCTTTTAGAAATCTTTACACAAATGGGAAAAGTCAATCTATGCGTAGACATGTACACGTGACCTAATTTAAGATTTTAGGTAACTTTAAAAAATCAGAATACACAACCCTTAATGGCACTTTTTTCCCATGTTTTTTTTTGCAGTGTGTGTGGTCTCTTATGTTTGTGTTGCTGAGGCGCAAATGGGTTTCCGGGCGCCCTTCACGTCACCCAGCAACAGTTATTTACGGCACACTGGCCTTAATCAAACATGGGAGATTCTAACAACACTGCAGCCCGTGTCTTTAGATTTAAGTTTTCCTCTGATAACCTTAAAGCCCGATATGACCTCGAGCTGATCATCATCATAAGTCACACATTCCACTGACTGTGCGTCTATATTATCCTTCCTACAATGATCTTCTTCCTCACAGAGCTGACTTTTGAATGTTTTTTCATGTGCATTCTTGTAAACAACAAAGTCAGGTGACTTCCAGGGCAACTTTGCTCTTGTCTGGTCACATGCGTTGCTTAAAGCATTTCAGGCCCACAACCCAGTTGTAGTCCATGTCAGATTCAGTCAAGCATCTCAAAAAATAAATAAAATAATACACTCTTCCCGTCCAATAAAAGCTCTCCGTTTTATTATGTGTATCATGATGAACCTTCATTTAATTTTCAATAGCGCAGTGCCTCTTTTTTATGCAGAAATGTGATAATAAATTCCACTGGCTCCAAGGGCTGTGGCAAACTTAATATGGAGTGACATTTCCCTTTGCTGGGACAATCAGCAAGGTAAATACCAGAAGCATATACTGTATTTTCTAACGGGTTTGTCTTGAAAGCCCCTTGTCAGATGCAAAACTAATCTTTCACTAATTTGCTTCAATCTCCTCCATTATTACAACCCCCCAAAGATAATTCTTTTCTTTTTTTGGCTTGAATTTTTGTCTGCTTGTTTTTGTGTGCATGGATGTCTGCATGCAGATGAGCTGTGTGGGTCACAATAGACAAACAAGGCAAAGTGTTGCCCACCTGCTACGTGAATCCCACAAATAGATATGCTGTGCAAATAGCTGTCTATGCCCCCCCTCTCAGGTTTCACTGTAGCTCATATAAAAGCTGTTCCTTTGGGACCTCTTGCCTGGCATGGCTCTGAGGTGGGGGATTGAAGTGTATTTACCGAGCAATGGCGAAGAGGAGGGGCCGGTTTGGAAAGAGTGTTGACCATATGGAGAGAGGAACGCTGGTTTAAAGGTTTAAGGGCTAACATACTATACACTATTTAAAAAAAAAAACCCACAGAGATGAACTATATGTGGTAATTATCCGTTAAGAACGTCCACAGGTCGACTTTTAAATTAATTCTGAAGATATTTCTAAGTGGAAAAAAAATGTACAATGTGTTCCCATAAAAAAACCATAACAATCCCTCATGCTGCTCGTGTTTTTGAAACAGGCCAGCAAATGCAACACTCTCTTAAATAGGATTATATGGGTTTTTCACAGAGATTAGTTTTGGCTTACAAAAGCCTCTCAAAAACAGCAAATTCAGTATGACTAAATACATCCAATTTTCATAAAATCTCTGACTCAATGTTGTTTCATGCTATAATCAGTATTTTTAAGCTAACACTGGATCAAATGACTCTGTGTGATGTAAAGGGAGACACCTAAGTGACAAACTAAACTTCCTCTATATATTTTGGCTCATTGTTTTGCTTTGACTATAGCTTTTCTCCTTTTTTTTTTCATTGCTCCATGTTCATACACAAAGTCTTGATAATTTATGTGCACTACCTGCCCTGCCCCAAAAGTTAGTGCACAGGCAAAGCAGATATTTTTTCCCCCATAGAGAATAAGAAAGCTGCAAAGAGAATGAATAATATGGCCATCAATATGACACGAATGCTAATCTGCTGAGGCCTGCACTGCAAAGCAGGATCTGAGGTTAGTCGGGTAATTTTGTCACGTTTACCCCAGTGGTTCAGTTCTTTGCAGGGCACCATGCAAGTCATGCAAGTCTTCTTGTGTGAAATATGCAGCTGTTTGCAATAGGTCACCTGGTTACAACACTACTGTTTCTGTTCTAATGGTAGATTCAGAAAGCCGGTGTTTTCTGGGAGACTTGATAGCTGCCATCAGCCATTTAGGTTTAACAAAGCAAGCTAACAAAAACCCAGCTGCTTGACTATCTATTTCCTTAAATTAAGGCTTCAGTATTTTGGAGCAATATACTTATTTTGTTTTTTTTAAATGCCATTTCAAAGCCAATCCTAATGCACCCTGATGGCAGCACACTTAAGCGAGCATATTCAGCAGATGGGAAATTGTAGGACAAAATTAAATAGGTTAAAAAGACAATACTATGAACACAGATAGAAAAAATGTTCTTCATTTGGCATTTAAGATTGTACCCTGTGTAAAGGTTGTGTTGATTTCAGTCATGCGATTCACTGCACTTTTGCTTTAACCTGTTGGCCACTAAAGTACAGTTTGCTTCAGGTCATGTTTCCAGAAAAGAGCAGGAGGTAAAAATCAGCGCAAGTGTGTGTGTGTAACAGTGAGACAGGTGTGTGTCTGTTTCTGAGTGAATTAGAAATGTGTATATGCGTCTGGCGGGCAGCAGGTGTGGCCTCTGTCATCAGCTCGCGACCCCACCCACCTGTCCAGGGAATAGCCCCCCCCGGCCGTCGCCTAGCAATGCATTTGTCGTCAACTAAGCCACAAGGTTGTTTTTTCTCATCCACTGAGGACACGCCTAACATGTCTTTGTAGAAATGAAGCTGCAGAGACAATCAAATTTACAATCCCAATTCCAAAAAAAGTGTGTAAAGAAAAAACATAATGATTTGTAAATCTTATAAACTCCTATTTTATTCACAATAAAAGATAGAAAACAAGTTAAATATTTAAACATAGAAAATGTATCACTTTTAAAGACTATTGGTTAATTTTAAATTTGATGGCAGTCTTCTTGTCATAATTTTTGTTTCATGATGCACTAAATACAAACACAGCTGTTTTGGAATTGAGGTTGTAATTCACAAGTGTGTGTCGTCAATTTTATTCAGATCATCATTCAAAATGTGAGTTTAGTTTCCTGTCAGAAGCATAAAACCAGGAATTAAACTAGGCCTGATTGATTCAGGATGGCACACTGGCAACTTTAGTTAATGAGGTTAATGTATATTATTTTTACATTTGTTTTTTTGTTTTTTTTTTGTTTTTATTATTGGCCTGGCACTCCTTCCAGCCCCCACATGCTACTACCGTTTAACATCTTCAGCGCATCCTCTTTCCCTCCCATCCCTGTGATGTGTTCATGCTGCAGATGTAAAGTTGTGGTTGCAATACTTCAGCGTCTCACTAGTTACAGAAGAGGAGCTATCATAAACAGAGTAACATGTTTTTTGTTTTTTTTAATGCTACATGATTCCAAATGCAACTTTTCAAACAGCTCAACAAATTTCACCAAAACACACAAACTGTTTCTGTGAAGTCTGTCACAAAACATGCCTGTGAGCTAAATGTACAGCTGGTGTATTTCACTAGTAGGGAAGATCAGAGATTATTTTCAAAGGTCAGCAAATTAGATTTAAATTTTAAATCTTATATTTAATATCCTTGTTCATTTTGGAGTTTTAGATCTATACACAATGTTTAGCCTAATTGTGTTTTTGTAAAAGCTCTTGCAAAAACAAATCGAAGCATAGTAATTTTGTTGCTCAACGATTCCATTAAAACACAAAGCCAGGGGTGTGGGGGAACTCCAGGCCTCGAGGGCCGGTGTCCTGCAGGTTTTAGACGTATTCTTGATCCAACACAGCTGATTTAAATGGCTAAATGACCTCCTCAACATGTCTTGAAGTTCTCCAGAGGCCTGGTAATGAATTAATCATTTGATTCAGGTGTGCTAACCCAGGGTGATCTCCAGGACACCGGCCCTCGAGGCCTGTAGTTGCCCACCCCTGCACCAAGTAGTTTAGTGCAGGCAACACCGGTTGGTTTGAATTATTCTGTCAAAGTTTACAGGGATGTTTGATTGAGGACTAGTTACATCTATGGTACTGTTACCAGGTTACAACTAAAGTACCAGACATAAACTTATATTTAGGGTAATGACGCTGATTAGATTCACTCACTGGGTTGTGCCTTTCATACTTAATAGTGTGTAGGGATTGGAAATCAGCCATTTAAGCTTGCATAACATCAGCTTATATGATGTTTAAATCAGTTGGGTAAACCTACAAAGAGCAATGGATCTCTGTGTAGCAGCACAGGTCAGCTGATCACAGTGACTTATTATTATGTGACTTATTTCTAAGTAATTATTTTCCCCACCTTGCACATTTCCACCGGAACTTGGGGTTTCCCCATCGGCAACATCCCACTGTAAGCCCTAGATATAACCACATCATTTTTAGTGTAATCAACCAGCTCTTATACACAATTTCTTAATATAACAGCACAAAGGAGGAAGATCTATTAAGCAATAAGGTTTAATTACTAAATGTATAAGCTCATTAAAACACATTTGCAGGGCAAAATGCTTTGCATCATATTCAAATAACAAAAATGTACCTATGGCTATTTTTCACATCAAATAACCACTTCAAGTCAAACACTGTGTGTTCTTTTCCCTACTTCCTGCATTTCTGATCATCGCCAATGACTTTTTTTGCCGGTACTTTTTCATGATGCTGATGTCACCGAAAAATGCAGGTTGTAAGCATATGGAGAACATTCGGAGCCACGCAACATGAT